CAAGCGTGTCTCGGGGACATGGGACCAAGGGGCGTGACGCTGGCGGGCTGGCCGCGCAAGTGTGTCTCGGGAACATGGAGCCAAGGAGCACGACGCAGGCGGGCTGGCCGCACGGGTGTGTCTCGGGAACATGGGGCCAAGAAGCATGACGCAGGCGGGCTGGCCGCGCAGGTGTGGTCTCGGGCATTATGCGGCCGAGGATCACGACGCAGGTGGGCAGACCGCGCAGGCGTGGTCGCGATGGTCATGCGGCCAAGTAGCACGACGCGGGCTGGCAGACCGCGCAGGTGTGGTCGCGAGGGCCATGCGAGCGAGTAGCACGACGTAAGCGGGCTGGTGGCCCGAGAAGCCACTTGTGCTTCTTTCCCTCCTTGCCTACTTGGCAGTAGCGGGAGTTAAAAAGCTATCGTATTTGATTTCTTTTCTGAGGGGACTGGTTACTTTTGCCACACGCTTTCGGGCATTGAGATCAAGGCGCCAGGGCATTGTCGCTTCAGAGGGGCTGCCATGTCAGGCCCTCATTAAGGCAGGCCATCTTTTGGCGCTTCTGACGTGACGGTCACGCACGTGCGTGGGTGGGCTGCCGCCCATTCTCGGGAGGCGAAGGGGCGCTGGCTCTGGCGAGATATCCTCTTTAAACAGCGAACGCCTAACTTCGCTTTCATTTTTCACCGCTGAGCCTCCTTCTTCAGGTTTTGCCGTCCCCTCTCCAGTTTCCTTCCCCGCTTCCTGGGTCGTCCTCCCTTTCCTCGTAGCTCTTATTTGTTAAGGTCAGTTGATATGTCGTCCTCTTCTCCCTCTTCTTCTTCTTCTTCCCCTTCCTGTGTAGCTGAGGGGGAACGTCCTCCGACGTCTCCCGCGGAATCCTCTGACGGGGAAGCGGCGCGGGCCTTGGAGGCCTTGATGTGGTCGCACGACAATGACTCCATCGTGAGTGGGTCACTGTTGGGGGGGCTTCGGGAGCGTTATAGTATCCCGGAGGACTACATCCTCACTGCCCCTGAACCAGGACAGCGGTCATACGACCCGATCCCTAGGGGTTTCGCGCTGACCTTAGATGCCCTAGAGGCGGGCCTGCGCTTTCCCCTCCACCCCCTCATCTTTGCTTGTATTTCTTTCTGGTGAATTTCACCGTCCCAGGTGGCGCCGAACTCCTGGCGTTATCTAGTGGTATTCCTGGGGGAATGCCATCATGCCAACATCACTCCTACCCTCAACCTATTTCTCTCCTGCTACCGCCTTTCCAAAGGTTCGGGGGGTTATTTCCTATCTGCTCGGACGGGTTTTCGAGTCGGGGGGGGCTCCTTCCAGTAATAAAGGATGGAAGGGGAGGTTTTTTTACATTAGTTGTGCAAAGGATTGGGGTTTTGGGGTTCGGTGGTCCGCGAGGGCGGTCGACAACACCACCCCAAGCTTGAGTGAAGCAGAGCGCCAAGACCTGGGGAGGCTCAGGGAGATTCTCCCCAGCTCCCAGGCCCTCCGGAACATGACCGAGCAGTGGCTAGCTGAGGCGGGTCTCAGCCCGACGCCTCTGGGTACGTCAGTAATGTCTGGTTCGGGTGTTTGCGTAGTTTATTTCGGGTACTAACATTTTCTCTATCTCTTGCAGAAATGGTGAACCTCTGGTCGCTTTTGGTGGGTCAGGCGTCGCAAGCTCCTCCCTAGCTCCGCCGGCCGACCCACAACCCGGCTCGGAGGATGCCCCGTTGGAGGTCGAGGCCGGGCGCCCTCTGAAGAAGGCGAAGACAACACCTTCGAAGGGGCCTGAGGCGGGCCCCCGTCGGGTCGTGGTCGGGCCTAGCCGACGGGCGACTGAGAAGGGTCCTCGCCCTATCTCCGTACGCGACCTATGCCGACTGTCAACCGGGGACGGGGAGCCGTTCGTGACGCGGCTGGTGAGCGAGATCCCACTCGGGGAGTCCAGCGAGCCCCTGGCCGCCCGTTGAGGGGGCTTGTCCCGGGGGGACAGAGTGTGGGTCGGAGGGGATCCCTTCGAGGCGCGCTTCATCCTGATATGGCTCGGGATTTGTACGTCCTGCCCTCGGAGGTGCTGCTCAACAAGTCCGCCCAATCACTGACTTGGGTAAGTGCGTCTCCTCTTTTCCTATTTGGTTTTGTCTGTCCGATGCCGACCTTCTTGACCCGTCTCTCCTTTTACAGGGCCTCCATTATGCGACGACCCTGATGGACAGGGTGCGTGACGCTGGCCGGGTCATCGGGGGCCTCGTCAGCCGCAACGCCGAGCTTCGCCGCCAGGTAGAGGAGGTCCGAGCCGGGGCCAGCCCGGAGGCTATGGCGGCTGTCGAGAAGCGCGCGGCGGATTCTGAGGCGGAGGCGGCTCGCCTTCGGTCGGAGCTCGAGGCCTCCAAGAAAGCAAACGAGGAGCTCTAGAAAACAATAAGGGTGGAGCGGACCGAACTCCGCCTGTCGAAGACGGAGGCGAGCGCCCTCAGCAAGAAGCTGGAGGAGGCGAAGGGCGAGACGAGAGCGGCCTCGGAGGCACTGGCGGAGGAGGCCCGTCTTCGACCTGCCAAAGATAAGGAGCTCCTCGAGGCGTACAAGAAGTCCGAGGGGTTCGAACTCGGTCTAACGCGGACGGGGCTGGTGTCCTTTGAGTATGGATACCGAATCGCCACGTCCCGTTTCCGCGCTCGCCACCCTGGTCTTGAGGCGGAGGAGGACCCCTTCACTCCCCACCCTGAGAATTAGGGAGTAGACATGCCCGAGGACGTCCCTTAACAATAAAGAAGGGTCTTGTATTTTTGTTTTCTAAGTTGCTAGTTAGTTTTGTGAGTTAGGGTCGAGTACTGTAAGTTTAGTCCTGTAAGTTTGTATTTTTCTTGAATAAAAGAAAATTTTTTCTCCTCTCGTGTGTCGCTTTCTTCTTCTTTCCTTGGGCAAAAAACTTCTTCTCCTTTAGACGAAAATTTCTAAGGTTCTGGTCGTTCCATGTTTTCGGCAAAGAACAAAGGAAAATTTTTCTTCTCGTTGCTTTCCCGAATTCTTCCTCCTCCCTTAGACGGAGACTTCTTCCCTTAGACGAAAATTTTCATTTAAACGAAAAACCTCTTAAGGTTCTGGACGTTCCATGTTCTCGGCAAAGAAGAACCGTCCATTATCGCGAGCCGGTATGTACCCGGTCGGATTACCTTGATGACCTGTTAAGGTCCTTCCCATTTGGGGGCCAGCTTCCCCCTCGCTCGGGTCGGGTCGCTGACCTTGGTCTTTCGTAGGACTAGGTCACTTAACTTAATTGGTCGGGGTCGTACCTTCTTGTTGTAGACCCTTGCGACGACCCTTTTATAAGAGAGGCCCTTCACGTGTGCGTCGGCGTGTCGCTCCTCGAGCACGTCGAGGCTGGCTCGAAGTCCTTCGTTCGAGACCTTTTCGTCATAGCCTCCTGTCCGAAGGGTGGCAATGGCTACCTCGGGCGGCAGGACAGCTTCGGTTCCAAACGCGAGGCTGTAAGGGGACTCTCCAGTCGCGATCTTGGGGGTGGTGCGTAGCGACCATAAGACGCTTGGGAGTTCGTCCGTCCACGCCGATCGGGCTGCGGACACTCTTCTTTTGAGCCCGTCTAGAATGGACCGATTGGTTACCTCCGCAAGCCCGTTCGTCTGAGGGTAGGCCAACGAGCTGAACCTTAGCTGGATGCCGTGGTTGGCACAGTGGTTTTGGGCAAGCCGAACCGAGTCACTATGTTCCTCCATACGAACTTTTCAATTTGCCGCTCCGTGATCGTCGCCAGTGGTTCTGCCTCGACCCACTTTGTGAAATAATCCACACCCACGACGATGTATTTTCGCTGCCCCGAGGCTGGGGAGAAAGGGCCGAGGAGGTCCAAATCCCATTGCGCGAATGGCCATGCGCAGTCGATGGGGGTGAGCGGGACCGCAGGCTGCCGGGGTGTGCGGGCCTGTTCTTGGCACGAACTACACCGTTGCACGTGGGCCTTTGCGTCCAAGCACATGGTCAGCCAGTAGTAGCCTTGACGAAGTATTTTGTGTGCCAGGGTTCGCCCACCAATGTGTTCCCCGCAGATTCCCTCATGGACCTCAGCCAGAACTGTCTGAGCTTCGTCGGGCTCCAAGCACCGTAGGAGGGGGTATGAGAAAGACCGCTTATAGAGCCATCCACCCACCTCGGTATACCACGCATGCTTGCGACGCAGGCACCAGGCCGTCGCTTTGTCGGGCGGAAGAGTCCCGTCCCATTTGAAGCGCAACAATTCTTGTACCCAGGTGGTAGGCGCGCCACCCGAGGTTGCCGCTGCGATTTCGATGGCACGGGCAGGCAGCTCCTCGACCTCGGGCCCAACTTCGGGGGCTGGCTTTGATGCCAGTTTAGCTAGTGCGTCGGCTCGCTCGTTTTCTCCCCTCGGGACGTTAGATAATGTAAAATGAGGGAACTTGGTGGTTAGGTTCTTTACCTGCGCCAGGTACTTCGGCATGGTCGGGTCCCGGGCCTCGTATCCCCTGCTAAGTTGCTCGGCTACCAGCTACGAGTCGGTGAGGACGCGGATGGTGACCACCTGCATTTCGAGAGCCAATCTGAGTCCTGCTAGGAGCGCCTCGTATTCCGCCTCATTGTTAGTGGCCTGAAACCCGAAGCGGAGGGAACACTCGAACGATCGCCCGTGGGGGCTTGCAACACCAGCCCCGCGCCGGCGCCTTTTGAGTTGGCCGATTCGTCGACGTGCAGGACCCAAGCCTCGGGAGGTAGTTGAGACCTTCGTCCCCGATATTGGTTAATTCTGCGATGAAGTCGGCCACGGACTGGGCTTTGATAGCGGTCCTGGGCACGTATTGTATGTCATGCTCGCCGAGCTCCACCGCTCATTTGAGAAGACGTCCTGCAACATCAAATTTAGACAAGATCTGCCGAAGTGGTGGTCAGTAATGACTTCCACCGGATGAGCCTGGAAGTAGGGGCATAGCTTCCGGGCGGACAGCATGAGCGCAAGTGCCAGCTTCTCGATCGGTGGGTATCATTCCTCGGGCCCGTTCAGGACGTGGCTGACATAGTAGACTGGAAGCTGTTCGCCGAAATTTTCCTTGACCAGGACGGAACTGACTACGTGCTGGGAGGCAGCCAGGTAGATGCCTAGCTTCTCCCCCGGAGAGACTGAGGCAAGTCGGGGGAGGTTTGCCAAGTGTTGCTTCATTTGCTCGAGTGCTTCCTCGCATTCTGCCGTCCACTGAAAATTTTTCGGGTTCTTTATTGCTCTAAAGAAGGGGAGGCACCCATCACCTGATCGGGCAAGGAAACGGGACATGGCGACAAGCCTCCCGTTAAGACATTGTAGGTCTTTGATCGTTCGAGGTGACTGCATATTGATGATCGCCTGGATTTTCTCCGGGTTGGCGTCAATTCCTCTTTCATGTATAATGAACCCGAGGAAGTTCCCCGAGGTGACACCGAAGGCACACTTCGCGGGGTTGAGTCGCATGCCGAACTTGCGTAGCGTGGCGAATGCCTCGGCCAGATCGGCAAGGTGAGCTCCTGCTTCTTGGCTCTTCACAATCATGTCGTCGACATAAACTTCCATGTTCCGCCCGATCTGGTGGGCGAACATCTTGTTCACCGTTCTCTGGTATGTAGCCCCGGCGTTTTTCAATCCGAAGGGCATGACCTTATAAAAGTAAACCCCTTGATCGGTGAGAAATGTCGTATGCTCTTGATCTTCGGGTGCCATTCTGATATGGTTATATCCCGAGAAGGTGTCCATAAATGAGAGGCGGGCGTGTCCGGCCGTAGCGTCGACCAACTGGTCGACCTTTGGAAGGGGATAGCAGTCCTTCGGGCATGCATTGTTGACGAGGACTACATTGGATAGTCATCGCGGGTATCTGGCTTCTTTTATAAAGCCTGCCTCTAAGAGTCGACTCACTTCTTCTCGTATGGCCAGCTGCCGATCAGGGGCCTGCTGCCTGGGCTTTTGTTTTACCGGGCGGGCGTCGGGTGAAATACTGAGGTGATGCTGTGCGACCTCCGGGTCGACGCCCGTCATGTCAGATGGCGACCAGGCGAAGACGTCGGCATTCTTCTGTAGGAGGCCGAAGAGCTGTCTTCATTCTTGTTCGGGTAGCTCCGACCCGATCTTAACCGTCTACTTCGGCTGATCCTCTAGCAGCGGTACGTCGATGGTGGACCCCCTCGGCTCAGGATGGGGGGCTGGCTTCTTCGTCTCCCAGGGGTCCGCCAACGGTGGTTCGATCCTGGCCCTCTTGTGTAACGAAACGGCGGTCAGGTAGCAGCGCCTGGATTCTCGGGGACTTCCTGCGACCTCTCCGGTCCCGGCGTGGGTCAGGAACTTCACAGTTTGGTAGTAGGTTGAGACGACAGCTATGATTTTGTTGAGGGTCGGCCGGCCGAGAATGGCGTTGTATGCAGTGGGGAGGTCGATTACCAGGAAGGTGGTCATCACCGTCTTCGACCTCGGTGGGGCTCCCAGGGTCAAGGGTAAAGTGATCGCCCCTAGCGGCGAGATTGAATCACCGGTGAATCCGGTGAGTGCCGAGAGTATCGGCTTCATGTTATCTCTGGATAAGCCGAGCTTTTGGAAGGCGTCGAAGTAGAGTATGTCGGCCGAGCTCCCGGTATCGACCATGATTCTTCTTACTTGCGCATTGGCTATTCTGGCCGATATCACGAGCGCATCGTCATGCTCGGTTTGTTCGGATGTCCCGGCCGGAAAGGTGACGTTAGTCTCGGGCCGGTGTCTGGGAGCTTCGGCCGGAGCGGCTCTGACGTACGCCTTTCTTCTGGTCATGGAATCCCCGCCAGACGCGGGGCCGCTAGCTATTACGTCGATGTATCGTTCGATGGGACCCTCCGGTCGTGGTGAAGGTTCCTTGTCCGGTCGGAGGTACTGGCCGAGGTGTCCCCTATGAATGAGCTCCTCGATCTACCTCTTTAGCTCCCGACATTGTTCAGTATCATGCCCATGTTGCCGGTGGAATCGGCAGTACTTCGATTGGTCCGCCAGCGCCCGCGGACTCCTCATCGGGTAAGGTTCTTTGAGCAGTCCCTTTTCCCTTATGTGGAGGAATATTTCCGTTCGGGACGAGTTCAAGGCTGGGAGAGGGGGCTTTGATGCCGGCGGGTCGGATCTGTCCAACCTACGCCGAGACGCAGCGGGTTGCTGCTGCTGGGGCGGCTCCGGGTTGATCCTCTTGTGCTCCTCGCATCTCCCGGCCATCCATGTCTCCGCGGCGACGAACTGGCTCGCCCGTTGGAGCATGTCGGGTACCGTCATGGGAGGTCGCTCCACCAGAGACCAGAAGAACCTGGAGGGCCGTAGGCCTATAATGAATGCATGTATCAATAGAGAAGGGTGAGCGTCCGAGAGCCCTTGGATCTGCATCGTAAAACGATTCACGAAGTGGGAGAGGGGCTCGTCCTCCCTTTGGTTGAGTTCGAGGAGCAACGCTACGGACGGCTTCGGACGGGCGTAGGCGAGGAAGTTGAGCTCGAAGTCTCGGGCGAGCTGATCGAAGGAAGAGATGGTCCCGATCTTCAAGCCGCTATACCATGCGCGGGCCGGTCCCCTCAAGGTCGTTGGGAACGCCCTGCACATCAAGGCGTCAGAAGTTACATATAGCGTCATTTGGGCGCGAAACGCGGCTACGTGATCCGCGGGGTCAGTGGCGCCGTCATAGGCGTCTAGGGATGGGAGCCGGAAGTGTGGTGGAATCACTTGATCTTGTATTTCGGGTGCGAACGGTGACCCTTGGTATCCGTCCGCTCCGAGCTCCCCCTTTGACCTGCGAACCTCTTGCTCTACTTCGTCGAGGCGTTGATTGAAGAGGCGCAACTGGGCTCACAGGGCGTTCGTCGAGTCCGCGGATGGCACCTCAAGCTCCGGACGACTCGACGTGCCTTCCGCCTCTCGGTCCCCGAGCTGGGCTATTTGGTTTCGAGGCGAAGTAGGGCGCTCGGGGAGCGACGCCTGTGTCCGGGCGGGGGGCTCACGCTGTTGCAAAGGCTGGGTTGCACGTGGGGGCGTCGGCTGGGAGATGAGCGGGATGATGGTCTGCATCACGCCCGCCAGTGCTCGGACTTGGTGAGCGAGATCGTGGAAGGCTTCGGGCGAAACAGGCGGCGGGCCGACGGGGACATCGGGTGGCGACAAACCCGGGTCGTTGAACAGCCGCTAGTAGCGCTCTGATGTCGTGGCAGGGCGTTCGTCGCGGGGTTCATCACGCAGGGGATGTTCTTCTAGGGTGTTGACCGGACGCGACCCCATGGCTGCGGGTTCGCCATAGTGGATCTGCTGATCGCTCGACATTCGGCCCTCCCTCTAGTGCCAAAATGTTGTGGGAAACAACTGTATGTCGTAGCCTCGGGGCCGTCGCGGCTTGGTTCGGGTCCGAATGCGAGGGGATCTCGCGCGGCGTTCCTCAGGGCAGCCGGGGTGGCCGGTTGCAATAGTCCGGGCGGGACGTTGCATGTGGAGCGAAGCTTTTTCGTGACGTTGGGAAGACGCAACCTCGCCCTTGTACCTGCACACAGGTCGGGTCGGAAGCTCAGCCCGACCCCTCCAACGATCAAGTTAGATGATGTGGAAGGAGTTTTCTTTGCTCTTCCAGAAGTCTCCCACTTTCGTTTAGAACTTCGGGGTATTTATAGGGCAGTTTAGTGTTACCTGATGTGCCTGCCTGCGGGTGGCAGGATCGTACCTCTGATGGCGTCTGACATTGCTATTGGCGTTGCATGGAGAACCGAGTTGCCGCAGGGTATGGGCGAGGGTCGGCCGTCGTCCTCCTCTGCCTTGGTCAAGCGCGCGGGGTCAGACAATGATGAAGTCGTTATCTGAGAGCGGATGACGTCAGCGCGTGTCGGGTCAACATTATTGCCCTCTTCCTCGGGTAGAATGGCGCCCAGGTGAGGCCGACGTCGTGACACGTCATGTCGCCATTATTACCCCTATCAAGACCGAAAGCTTATATGAGTTTGATTAATACTAGTGTATATTTATATTTTTCGATTTTATTTATATTTTGTAAACATATAGACATTTTATAGTATGCTTGATAGTTTCATTTTGATTGACTTTTGTGATTGTTTTAGGCTTATAAATATAAGTTATGTGTTGTCTCGTATAGAGATAAAACTGTCTAGAAATATACTATCCAAGCAATCGTTTTAAGATTTTTTAGCTCTAGTGATGCAATGTTTGTCGACATAACACCCATGAGCTACTTGAGTGGCACATGATTGGATGAGCCTTCTGAGTAGTATCTAGGGCTAGTTTGTTGTCTTGTTTCGCAGTAGTGTCATGTAGACACCTGGGGACTTTTGGTCGTAATGAACCACCTTGGATCATTTGTCACTTGATCATTCAGAGCTTGCGAAGTCTTTATTTATAATTTACATTATCTATCAAGTGTTTGCTAAAATAGTTACTTATGATATCCTAAATTAAATACTTCTTCTAACCCCTCTTCTCTTTAGAATGTCCTTAAGAGATCATAAGAGATTTAGGAGAGCTTGACCCTTTACGGATGGACACGCAAGGGTGCCGCACGACTTAGTCAAAACTAGCTAAGTCCATGATAGATGGTATCAGAGCGAGACAAGCATACTTAGAAACACTTGGCATAAAAATATGAGGGACCTAGCAAGGTTGTATTGAGGGCAATTAGCATACATGATTGTTTGAGAAAAATGACCATAGAGACATAAAGAACGGAGTCACCCAAAGGAGTAATTATTTAAGATTGACATTCAGAGGAATGATCAACCCATTACACGAGAGGCACCACGAGGACAAATGAGATAAGAAGAATGCATAGCGCATAAAAGTTGGGATGATTCAGTTCGAGCTACAGCTTGATGTTAGCAATTAAATTTGATGGTGTTCAAGGCAAGCAGAGTGCTTCGCAAATGATGAGACTATGCAAGGAGAGATGCGTTGCTCGATGATCGAAAGAGTTGTACAAAACTCATATAAATGAAGAGATTTGTTAACTCAAAGAATTTGATACTTATGTAAGGACTTGTATGCGGACAATGGACTATTTGTGGCCATCCCAGGTTAGCCAAAACTCAATGTCATGGAGCATTGAAACTTTCTATTTAATATGGGAAGGATATGTTTGTAAGAGGTTGAAGTATATAGTAAGTTCAGCATATTATCAGGCCTTGAGAGGCGTAGTGAGGGCTATATCGGCGAAAAGTCGTAATCTAGTAAGTGTGTTCACAATGGTGGAATAATGCATAGTTTGTTTAGCAAGACAAAGTAGTACAAGAGAATGATGGTCTTCAAAACTTCTAAAGGGAATAATGTGAAGAGAAAAATTACTCTAACATGACATATATCTAGGAGGAATAGGTCTCAATTATCTAGAGAGAGAATTATATGCAACGAACAACACATGTTGATGAGGGGGTACCTCAAGATAATAACTTTATAAAGCTCAACAAACCGAGCGAGTAGTGATGAGTCATCATATGATCTGATATATTGGTAGATGCATTGTAAGATCAAGTGGGGGAGCAACCCAAAATAATACCAAATAAAGACACACTTAGAGTCAATGTAGAAATCAGACTTAACGAAGGGTTGATTAGTGGAATGGTGGGCACTAAGCTGTATAAAGGAAGTCGACATAGAAGACGAAACATGGAGTAAATGTACAAAGGTTTCCTTGGACAGAGGTCAATGACATAACTTTTATAGAGGCAAGAGTAAGATCATATTATTCCATAGGTCTCTCGTTCTGATGGAGCAAACTTATTTGCATGGTGCCAAAGTCGAAGGGAGCTTCGAGGCACACGCAACTTATCTCAGCGAAGCATTTGATGGAGGAGCTAAGGCCACTCAAATTGTGATGGCGAAGTTGGGGTTAGAATACCTTGTCACAAGGCAAGAGGACACAGATGCAAGTACTCTTGAAGAATGTGACATAGTGCTATAATTCAAGTTCTCACGAAGGAAGTGGTGCATAGTAGAGATTGTGTTGAGGGGGCAGAGGCTCACGATCCAGATAGTGATGCACCAATTTTAGTAAAGTTGGTGAACTTTAAGAGCTGCTAGGCGATATACTCTTCTAGAGCTACACTTTATCTAAGTATGACCCAAGAGCTGATGGATGAAGGTCAATTGCCAAAGGAGCAAACATAATTGGAGGTAGCAGAGGCCCTGCAATATGCTAGCAGAGCCTACACATAGAGAGATCGCAATCCGAATTCATCCTATAAAATCAAAATACAATGAAGATGTCACTAAGAGGCAACATGATGTAGCAAATTATGGTGAAACAATTCGAGGCAATATGACACATATGAGAGAAGTCCCACGAGAGACTAGATCATATGGATGTATGATTGGGAGCTATTAGGAGCTCTACTTCGGCAAATAATATGACGACAAGAAGGGCTATAGATTCAAGGAGTAAATGTTATAGTACTACAAATGCATGTCTTTTATGTGTGTATCAAATTTTACATTAAATGAAAGCCTTGACCATCCGCATATGTGGGAAGTGTACCACCAAAGGAGAATTCTAAGTGCAAGTACTAGTGAGTCTCATAGGGGGACTTGATCATATAGGGGTATTATCAGAGCGGTTGGAGAGTTGGATTACTGTAGAGCTCATATTTGCTTAAGGGAACCAAGTAAGTCAAAGGATAAGATCGAGTAAATGAACGTTAATACCAAAGGAGAACAAAATCGATACTAGCCTTACAACATAATGGCGGAGGCCATGCGTGAGAGTTGCAGTTTGTCTTTTCATCGATTAAGGGGAATTACTTAGAGAACACAAAGGTATTGAAGTAGATTGTTGAAAGGGGCAAGGAAGCGATGATGGGTCTAGATGGACTTAGCTACCCAAAATCAAGTATCGATTAGAATGAAGGTGGACTTAGAGAAATATAACATTGCGTAAAGGCGGATCTACATATCGCAAATAAAGGGGCACAAATATGAGACGACGGATAGTAGGGTCATGGGCATGGTAGTGTCATAGTATCACAAAGGCAGGACTTCCATAAAGTCATCGATCCTTGCTCTCATGGAAGGACAACGCTTAATCGTGAAAGGGATTAAGGAGGAAGAGAATGCAGAGGCAAACTCTAAGTACTGAGATAAGACTGAATGGTAAATGCTAAGGAACATGATAAGATCGGTGTCCATATGCTTCTCATTAAAATAGTCAAAAGTGGAGGGCTTTGGGTTAATGCAGAAGGGCTTGACTAAGAAACGAAGTAAGTAGTACGCGGTACTATACATTTTCTACTCAAAGGAGTAAGCGACAAAAATGATGGAAAAGATGGTATAGTCCCAAAAGTGACCAAAACTACTAGAGACTTGCTCTAAGTCCAAGTAAAATTTTACTCTTTTCGGGCAAAATTTCTTCCATTTTAGCAGTTTGATAGCAATAAGAAGATAAATTGCAATAGCTAACTTAATGAAAGGAGTGCAACCACTTCGGGTACTTTGAAAGTGTGAGCAAAGAGCAAGTGAAGGCTAATAACTAGCTCGATGAGGCGGGCAAAGTCGAGTAACATTTGCCTTCTCAACTCTTAAGAGAATGGGTGAAATCAAGTACTATAGTTTTCTTATTTATCCAGTAAAGGAGCTCTACATATGTTCAAAGACCCCTTGAAGAAACCTAGTGGAATACAACAGTTGTCAAATCCTCACCAATGGTGATTGGTGTTATTAAGAGTAAATTATCTACTTTATTTTCTAATAGAATATCAATTGAAAGTGGAAGTGATGCATACCTATTTGGAGGCGATAAGTAAGTAGAAGATAAATTAGTATAAAAATTTTGTGGAGGAAAGATCTTAAAAACTTCAAAGTCTATAAGACGATACTCTCTAAAGCTCTAATAAGTATCTACCCAATTCAAACAACATGAGACATTTGAGATACTAACGCATAATAAAGAATGTCTTTTCCTTCGTGTGAAGGATTCCTAAGAACTAACAATGATCAATACAACTCAGCTAACCCAACACTAGAGTTAAAGTCATTGATGAGTTAAAACAACATGATGGATCAAAATTTGACTACTCAACAACTACAATGAAGAGTAATTAAGAGCTTTGCAACTAGAGCAGAATATTAAAAATTCAACAATGATAAGGAGATGCAACGTCACTAAGGCTTTGATAAGGATGTCAAAGAAATAAGTAGGGGAGAATGTCACAGATAAAGCTGTAAATAGGGTGTTTGATGTAATACTTATGTATGTTTATGTCTTTCAATTTCGTTGATGCTTTGCACAGCATATAGAGGGTTTACAATAGGCTTGCCAACCCCATTTTGATTGGCTTTTGTGGTCGTTTTAGGCTTGTAAACGTAGATTATCTTCATTTATCCTGTAGAGACTAAACTGCTAAAAAACAGACCATTCAGATAGCCATCTTAAGGGTTTTCTAGCTTTGTAGAGTGATGAAAAATATCAATCAACATAATACCTAAAAGCTACCAGAGTAACACATAATTGGATGGACCTTTGGAATAGTGTTTAAGGTTGATTTACTACCTCATTCTAATATGAATATTTGTGAAAACTTTTGATCGTGATAGATCACTTTGGACCATGCAATCGTTCATAGTTTGCAAAATATATATTTATAATTTACTAAAATGATTATTTGTAAAATCTCAAATCTTCTCTTTTATAAATCTTTAAAATCTTTAAAGAATCACAAGAGATTTAAAAAAAAATTGACCCTTTGAGGTTTTGAGGAAACTGACCCTTTGCAAACGAACACACAAGAATACCACACGACTTAAACAAAACCAACTAAATTCGTGATAACTCAACACTATAACAAATCATTTATCCCGTCAATCTCAAGCCTAAAAGAAAATTTTCATTATAAAAACCAAAATTAAGAACAGCGGCTTGTATTCCAATGATTTACCAGTGGCACACCTTTAATGGCACACCACACTCCAGCTTATTATGTCTAAACAATGCTGTTATAAATATAACGATTCTTCGCTGGCAACGGCACGATAACCTAGTTGAAGTACTAAAACATGATCTACGAGCTGACAGTATACATACCACACTGGTCCAAAGGTGAAAGAGGATAAGAAATCCCTCAAATGATAGAATACAGATAATGACCATCACGTTAATTAAAGCAACCAAGGAATCTGTAGAAAAACACAGAATCAGGAGTTCAGTTTCATGTTCTTCAGCATGCTGATGACAAGAGGCAGCTTCTTAGGAGCCCTCTCTTTGTAGTCCCTCTGCAAGGCCTCTGCCGCTAGAGATTGCAGGTTGGAACCCTCTTTCTCTTCCTTGTTCCGTCCTTTCGTTAGCTGATTGATGGCAATACTACACTGGAGACATTTAGAGCGTGGATCAGAATGATTGTGGCGAAAATGTCTCGGGTTATCAAGAACATTCTTACCAAGCAGACACCATAGAGAGCTCTGGTGTTCTTTCCTCCAGTCAAGGTAATGGTGGATGCATAGTACTTTTTAGCTGTCTGAAGATTTTCCAAGCCACCAATGGTATAAAGAACCTGTTGAATCAATGTCTTGAGAATGGTAAACCATGTAAAACTTAACTTGATGCCCTCAAGATATGCTGTAAAAGAAATTGAATTGCTGAGAAAATGTATAATGGACACAGTTTGAAATCCACCAAAGCACCTCTTATGTCAACCTGATTGCCAGGTTAGGGAACTTGTAAGCCTAAGAGGACCTGATTCTATTGAGCTGAGAGGATGACAATAACCTTAAAGCAACTCACATACTAGACTATATCCATGAGATTCTGAACAATTTAAATAGATACATGGGAACTCCTTCGTCTTTAATGGACATTTTGTCTGATTGTCATCAACTGGCTGAGACCAGTAAGGTTCCTAGGACTTGTAATTACCGAGCTCATTTGCCGGAAAATTTTGCTAAATCTGAAGGTGTATCTAAACCATATTTATGCAAACTTTGATTTGAACACACGTTCTTTTCCAAAAAAACAAAAATCACAAACTTTCCACCATTCTATAGCAACTTGATGCCTACTACCTTATCACCATCATAGTAACCAATGCTTTAATGTTTAAAATGCACCAAGATGCAAGAAAAAATCACGTCTCACCCAATAATCATATAGGTCTTCATGGGAAAATTTTTCTGTCATGTACAAAGACATTTTTGCATTCTATCATTTCCGAAAAAGTTAATTAACTATGTGGATATGTAAAAGACATTATTTGAGACACCCTCCAACCCAAAAAAGGTGTGCTCTTACAAAATCAATCCTAAAAATTAGAAGAAAAAAAAAGACAATAATTCTTCAAAGAAAAAAAAAACTTCTTGACCTATTCATCATAACAAAACCATTAAACAGCCAAATGAATAATTTGTCCCATTTCCAAATTGTCTCATATGTTCTTTGCAATTTTATTTGCCACATTCACTGAAGATGGAGGGACTACATTGTCAGATGATAGAAATAAAAGAAAAGAAGAAGAATTCATTAATTAAAGAATATTAGCTGCATGATGAACAACCAGTTTATTGAAGAAGAGCAATACAAAAACCTTAAATAAGCTATTATCTAAGACACTAGTAGTAGGCCACTTGCCTCTGCATAAGCTAGATGATATGGAGGAACTGTTGGTTGAGATAGTATCAGCTCCTCATAACAAAAGGCTGCTTGCTTATACCTAATTAGAATAAGAAGCAATGAAGATATTTTATGGACAGTAGAACGTGTTAGATATTATTCCAAGAATGTCAATCAAGATAACTTACATCTGTAGAGACATGTAGATTTCAGCCAGTTCTCTCCAAGCATCATGATCTGCCATGAATCTGATATGAGATCCAACAATTAGCAATACATTACCTTTAAAACATTTTCAACACAAAGAACAAAACATATTCAGATAATAGTATATAAGCCTGTATACAGTTCTTACATTTCTAAGTATTTATTGAGTAAATTGACAGCAGCTGATAAATCTCCTTGTGCTTTCGCTATAGCCACCATTCTTTTGTGGATTAACTGCATGGAATGGGGCTTACACTTTCTTTAAGTCATTGCTCAAGAAATCATAACTAAGCCATATCAGCCAAACACAAAATCAATAAAAAAGAAAACCATAAAACTAAGATATAATTTTATATGTTTTGCATATAGAAATATTAAAAAAGAATAGACGAAGACTGTACTTGATCAAGTGGGTTGTCTTCTAGAAGACGTTCATAAGCTTTTTCTGCTTCAGCCCATGCACCTTTGGCCTCAAGCAGCAACCCTTCTAATCTTCCTGGAAATAATTGCATCGAGCATTTGCTTAGTAGAATAAATAGTACAAATCTTTGCAAGAAATCAACAGCATACGGAATAGACCTCATAAATATAGTAGCTTGCATTTTTTCCAATAATTGCTCTTTTGCAGGTTCAAGAAATAATAAAAAGATGTAATACAGTAAACATCAATTATAAACCACAAAAAGAAAATGTTGGTTTTTTCTAGGAAACGTGTCCATTTCCCTTGTTTCATCTAACAAGAAATATATTCCATGGAGTCTCACAATTCCTGCTCATATTCTTTCTCTAAGATTATGCAACATGAATTTTCATGCTTACAGAAATTTCACATTATATCAAATTATCAGGGTACAAACTAAAGCAGGTTGTATGGCTGCCAGGCATGTGATTGGTAACAACAAAAGCATGCTGGTGCTAGCATCAACCAACACCTTAAAAAGAAGAAAAAAGAGCAAAAAATTAATCTCGAAACAAAAGATAGTGCAAACTGCAAAAGACTATAGTCCATTCCCAATGGTCCAAAGGATAGTCACAAGATAGAAATTAGTATATGGCTGATTTAATTAGGCTGTAATTAAGTTATTTTTAAAAGAAAGAAGTTTTAGTACTTGAATCATAGAAATTGTCTTCTAGAACTCACACAAAAGACTAGAATGGTCACTCTAACACTGCCAAAGTGGAGCAAAAATCAGCCCTGACATTTTCAACATGGGACCATTTAAAATGCGAGTCCGTTCTTATACAAAAATCAATGAGTTCCACCTGACTGTCTAACATAGCATCCAATGCCACAATTAAAGAATATGTCATTTCCACATATCATTCCCCTATGTCAACTTAAGGCTTAAGCAACTCGACACTGTTGCTCAAAACTTTTAGCACATATAACCATCCTACCAAATAATAGAAGCTGTTTATATATTTAACCAAGCTGAGATATTCTTAGCTAATGAAAGAAGTAGCCAAAACCACCCCTAAGAATAAGTGTTCCCCATGATAAGCATGTCAAGTGCATCCATCAACTAAATAAAAGTTCTCACATAATAATCTCTAAATATAGTCTGTCTCCTTGTCTTTCTTCTCCCTGCATCTTAATACAGTTTAACTATCTCCAAATCCCTTCAAGAATTTTCAAGGATGGAATTGGCACTTGGGAGACAAGCCACATCCAACAAGATGAAAAAAGAAAAGAAAACTAATTGTTACTGTTCATAAACTAACCCTATTTAAATCATCTTCATGATAAACAGGTGTTATATAATATATGAACGGATTTCTGATTTCCAATAACGTGCAGCTCATATCAAAAAATTAGTTTCAACTCATGAAAGACCTTAAATATAACAAAAGATTACAATTCATGAAAAAAGTTAAATACTAGCAAAAAGTTTAAACTCATTAAAATGATGAAAATAACTGAAGGCATTGTAAAATAAGCAGCATGATTATTACTTTCTAACTCTTCACGGCAAAAGTCTACTATGGTAGCATAAGTCACTAAATATATAATGGTACTTGAAAACGTTTTCAGATATCCTAGGTGGCAAACCAAGGTCTAAGATCTCAAACTTCTGGCACAGATCTACTTATAGAAAAGATGTGTTAGTTCACTATACGAGACAAATGCAGTCACTTAAATGTTTTGCTTCATACAGAAGTTTCCAATTCTATGTAGGTCAATCAATCTCTATGTTAAACAGAATTATGCTGGCAATGAAGATTCTCACCAACCCTTGTGCTTCCTGGGAATTCTTTTGAGAGAATTGCAATGCAATCCTGCAAAAGAAAAAAAGAAGCAAATTATATTGAACTATATTTCAAAGTAACATGATGAGTGCCTTAACCATGCGAGCTAAATAGTCAAGCTTCAGAGATAAAATGATTATAATAGGTTTTATTGCGAGTCCAGCTATTATCGTTTCTATGAGAATATCTATCGTTATGAAATATTATCATGGGAAAATTAACTAATGCTCACAAGAGGTAACTGGTTAGACTAGACCACTTAAAACTGAAATTGCAACATTCTGGTAGATGTCTCCATTTGTAACTTTAACTTCCTTTTCTTCTCCTTGAGCAAATTAGGAAATTAACATAGGACATGGTTTCATGTGGCAGCCTATGAGTTTATATAAAACCCACTCTAAAGCACTAAACTTTTTCCAGAGTAAAAGAAAAATGTAACTAGACTAAATTAAAATTGAACCCAAATCTAGGTTCATCACAAATCGAAAATCATGTCGGCTTTTCTTCTTTCCGCATCTAGTGTAGACGCCTCAATTTCCACAAACTCTCCCCGGTCTAAGAACATTCATCTCCAACGAATGGATGATGTAATAATGAAGGGATGAATGATTTTTTTCTACCATAATATGTGTAACTGGTGTGACACCACAGCCTTTATCCCAAAGTGAGATCAAGAGAATTGGAGTGAACAAAAAGTTAACTATGCCATATCTTATTCTCCTCTCTTCCCCAATCATCCTACCACCTAATTACATAATCCCTAAAGCTCGAAAATCCTTGATGTCCTAGATTTTTCTTTGATGGTACATGATCTATGAAACCCCAAACTATTGAAAACCTGAAGTTGTTGGAGCTATCTAGCAAAAAGAACTAGTGAATCAACTTCACAATCAAGTAAAACTAGTCAAGAAGGACAGGATCAATGTCTTCCTCGCTCCTTAAAGTCGGTATGTGTTTTAATTTGTGTTACTTACTTTTGTTGTCTTGAACTGATTTTTTCTATTTATTGTGTCTTTTTACCGAAACTCTCCTCTCTGTTTTGTCCTTTTTTTCACCAACTCAATTCCCAATTCCCTAGGCACTCACATCTAGGTTGTCCTGTGTCACCATCCTTAAGTGAGCCTCAACCTCTAATAGTAGGAAGCACTTTGATGAGAAAGGTGAAAGTATTTGTTTCAAGCTACCAGGCTACCAGCCATTAAAAGCTTGCATAATATTGGTTGAACAACTTTGCTTCATTTGACAGAATAAAACTATAACATTCAGCGTTGGTATGAGGACAGCATACAGAGCATCAATAAGATTGTTACATTGCAAAGTAGGAATTATAGGTTACCAACCATAGAAATAGCCTTTATACATGCTAGGCAAATTCTGCATGGATCTGACCTTCCGCATACTAAGAAATGTGGGAACCTTTTAGACTAGGCTGTCTTGGTAATTTAAAGATTGTGCATAAATATGTTTTTTAATAAAATACAAAACACTCTGGAACAGTTTGGCCTCGAATATTTATTTACCAATTGAACATGTGTCAAAGAAAACTCAAAGCGTTATAGTAAAGGGCGCGTATAAAAGTATTGATATATCAAGACTATTATCAATAAAATACAGCAAATAGAAAACCTAGTGAACCTTGATCTAACCAAAGGGCAATAGAAATATTTACGTTTATCACATGAGGTTCATGTATCTCAAATGTGAACAAACGTCTGTGGTAGTATCAAATAAATTGTAGGCCATATAATAGTAATAATATTAACCTCAGGACTTGGTGTGTGAATATCTAATTTCAGACACTCTTTTTACAGCAACAAATTGTAGTGCTAAATTATTGATTCTGTGCTATTTCAGGCATTTTCCTACATCAGTCAATGAATTAGGAACTTAGCAATCTGATACCAATGCATACTAGGACCTCTAGGTAACGAAACAAATATGTGACTATCTTGGGATCGGAGACCATAAGAGGCAACTGCAATGAAAATAATCCACAAAATCTAAAAAATCATTCAAGAACAAAATTTATTCTTATGGACTCTAAAATATATTTGTTTTTGTCATGCAATTAGCTTTTCTATTGATTTTTTTATTATATAAGAACTGAAAATGAATAAAAACTTTTTTACTTGGCAATGGTGAAACACAACAAGCATGGAATCACTCATTGAGCATAAAAGAGAATGGAAATTGCTGAAAGCACCATGGAAAAGTGTTGCATTGGTTAGAAGGTCTATATAAGTAAGAGGAACATTAAAAAAGTAGAAAGCAAAATACAGTTAGACAGATTGACAACAACAGAAAGAGAGAGTGGTCCTACCTTTGCAACATCATGTTGCTGGCAATCCATAGCAGCAAATGCCACCTGCTCGTATAGGGTCCATTCTGCAAAATAAGAGAAACTGCTCTGAATATTGTTTCCCTCGTTGCTCAAATGAACTTTCCTATTTTCCCATTTTTTTAGTAACACAACCTCGTCAAACTAATAACAAATTTTGATTATGTAAAGATCTCTTAGCTCAATATCTGGGATGGGATGGGATGATGATGCTTAATACATGGTTCAAAATGTTTAAGCTTATCTTTTCCTTTATGACTTCAACTTGGCAGGCTCCATAGTTCAGATCTTTGGTTTTACCGGCTAATCAGCACAACTTGATTAGTTCCATAAATTGATTCATTACTCCCGATACTTAATAAGGTATCTGGTTAACGGCCATTTTCCTTGGCAAAAAGATTACAACATTAATAATTAACTTGCTTATAAGACTTGTTTCATGACAGTAATAGGACTTGTTCTCTGATGTCAAAATAACCAAGCACTGATTAGAAGAATTATGCTATTAAATTAATCTCCCCTTAAATACTGCATATCTGATTGTGATAAAATCCTCAGTTTTCCATAGGTTGCATCTTTAGCATTCAATTGTCCCGTAGTCTCTTTTTTTTTCAGTTGGTTGACTGGATCTACTATCGTGAGTTGAAGAGCCCAATTGCAACTTTTCCGTACATATTTGACCTAGTGGAACTCTGATCTTTACTCATAAAGACCTGTTTAACAGACAAGCAACGGTATACTTCGATTGATATACTGATGTGCACCAATAACTCTGCAGTTGGTCTAAACGAAATGATATTGGAACCTCATGATCAAGCCGTGACACCCACATGGTCACTCCATTAGCAAGTACGAGAAGATCTCAATAGAACTTTACGAATTCTCATGAGATCGATCTCGTTTAAGGGAAAGAAGGCCTCCGTCGTGTCCGGACACGAAAAAATAACCAAATCAAGAAATTCAACCAACCTTCTCCTCCGAGCTTGGATCGGGCCTTGGGGTCGTTCAAGATCGAGAGGCCGTGTTTGAGGACCTTGTCGGATCGTCGGGCCTTTAGCTTGCGGACGAGGCAGAGGTACTCCTCCGCTCCTCCGCCGCCGTTCTCGACCTGGCTCTCGAGCCGATCCAACCGCGCCGCCTCCTCCGCCCGCACCATCCGCACGCGATCGCCGGCAAAACGCTCCTCCGCGGGCGAGAAAAGGGTGAAAGAGATTAGCCGAAAGAGGAGAGCGCCGGCTGCGGTGGATCCAATCTCGTCATCAAGGGATCGATCGGGACCTATTTAATTCGGAAGATCCGATTTCTCCCTTTCATCATCCACATCTCAGCCGCCCAATTAAATCGTCGACTAAACGAACGGATGGAATGAAATAACGAGAGGGATGGAGAGTCGAGACCCATCGTCGACACCGGATCCGATAACATCTCGGGTTAGTTACCGGATCCGGATGTGGAACGTTAGGGATTGCATTCCGCGCAACTGTCGTTCAGATTCGTGCAACGAATTGATGGGCGGTGTGGATGCTTCGTGGATGTCTAGAGCTAAGAGCATCATGATGAGATCAACCTGCGGAAAGGCTTACTCTTCCCATACCATAGAGCATATTCTGTGGCCACAGGGTTAATATGATATGGTGCATTACATTGACTCGATACCTTGTACTCGGACGGGATCATCGTTTGTTCTCGTGTTATCAGGGTTGATATGATATGGTACATTACATCGACACGATGCCTTGGACTCGGATGAAATGATCGCTTGTTCTTGCATTGTTCGAAGTCATATGAGACGATGATCAACCTTCGTTTGTATATATAAAAATCAATCTCCTGACTAACCTCAACGATTAACTTCAAATACTCAATTCCTCTTAATTCCACTGACTTGAATTTCGGAATGATTGAGCATTCACGTGAGCAACTTTACGCACTCAAGGTTTCCCAACCTCATTCCTCTCAAGTTAGAGTTACTTTTAAAAATAAGGAAGACATGACAGATTTATGATCTTATCATACATATACATATATATATATATATATATATATATATATATATATTTATTTATTTATTTATTGACCGGTGTGATTTGGATTATAGATTCTAGGAACGGAAACCGAATGAACAATTGACCCACTTGGAACTAAACCGTCGATGGATCAGAGCGAAACGAAACAGTTACTGCAACAAAAGCAACTTTGCTCGCGTGCCTCACGAAACAACTACAGGAGCACACCTTCTCGTACGATCCGATCGGTCTAGAACCAAAAGACTAGAATGCCAGTCATTCCATCACCTCCATTTCACATCACAAAGGATTTGCTTTCGAGTGTAATTGTTCTGGGTGGATATCCTTGCATTGGCGTTTGACACTGTTACTGATCCAAGAAAAGTGATGCGGTCATTTCAGTGCTTCATGGTACTATGAAAACTCATATGCTCAGATCTTGTGCTTTGTGCTGCATGTGTTTGTTTGAGCTACAACTGTGCTCAGAATGCATAGATGTTGTCAGTTCAAGGTCGAACACCATCTACCATGACTTGTAGGTCTGCTTCCATAGAAATAGCAGACTTTCCATTGCCACGAGCTTCTCCCAGAAAGCAATAAGAAGCTGATCTGTTTCTTCATCCCTACCACGATGAATGCCACAACAAAATCCTTCATATGTTACTAACTAGGCATGAATCTGTACGAGACTTAGCGTGTTCTTTGTATCATCTTCATCGTTAGGACAGTATATTATGGTGTCTCTCACCATCGAATGTCTCAGGATTTTGGAGGCACATAAGTTCGCTTCGGATGTGATGTACTGTAGTCAGCATGCAAGGCGGTTGGATGAGACTTGAAGTGGCGTACTAGCGGGTAAAACGCTTGGGCAAAACTACAGGGACGGGAAAGAACCAACGGCGAGCATGGGCGACGTGCAGCTGTGTCACCTGAACAGCAAATACGGTATTTATTCCACGAGAAGGGCGAGCCCGGAGCGGGGCCTACCTCACTCCTGTGGTGGTGGTGGTGGTGGGAGTCACATTGAACGGGAAATCCAGTTTCCTGCCTTGGATGAGATAGGAAAATTCCACTCTCGTACGTGAGATGCAGTTCCCGGGTGGCCCCCACTTCACCTCACTTGTCTCGCTCTTTTACCGCAGACGACGAGACGAAGACCGACCTCTGTCTCGGCGTACCTTCTGTCCCTACCCGAGGAACAAATCGGTCACCTTCTCCCCTACCGCCACTGACCCCCGTGCGATCGTTGGGATCGAGCCAGGTATCTCGCTCCGCCCCCTCCGATCCTTCTCCAGCCCCTAATTCATAGGGTTTTCACGATTTTTTTTTTTGTGATCATGTGATTCGTCGGAACCCTAAAGCATTCGCCGTGGTATCTGCCCTAGTTGAAGTAGAAATTGATTTCTGTGTACTCTCGCTTGATTGATTAAATCTAAGTGTGGAGATCTTTGGATTCTGATAGTTCAGTCTTTTTCTTCTGTTGCCTTATGTATATCTGCTAATCTTTTGGTGTTATCTGAGGGTGACTTCCTCTTGTAGACTTTGAACAGGGAACTGTACAGAACGTAATATTTCGCTTCCAGGATTTATTACCAATCTAACATTCTTTTTCGTTCTTTGAGTTGGCGCTGCTGCTTTCCTGCAAAAGATTTTAGCCGTCTTGAATCAGATGTATCAAATTTGTGTTAGTTGATATGTAATAGGAAGCAAGATAGTTGGAGGTTTGGCAAAATATTGAAGGAGCTGAACCTTTTTTAGGTGATAAAATTCGTTGTACATTGCACCTCCGGAAATGAGTTTGGACAGTGAAGATCAGGAACTGCTCGAAAGAAAATATGTATCTGAAAAGTGAGCAACTCTGTTTGCTTGTTATGTATTAGTGTTTCTGCTGGCTACTTATGTTTTTTGGCTTCTTTCAGGCAGCCTAAAGTATCATATACAAGAGAATATCTTTTGTCTTTTAGCAACTTGGATATTTGCAAAAAATTGCCCAGTGGATTTGATGCTTCAATATTGAGGTACAGTTGGTTAAAATCTACTAAGAAAGCGTTTGTTTAATTTTTTTCTCCTTTTAACCATTTATCAGTGGTTTTGCTCCACTTGCTGTTATTTTCTTTTAGCAGTGAGTTCGATGAAGCATCAATTATTGTAAATGAGCAACAAAGAGGTGTTGGAAGATTAACTCAGAGTACAAAGCACAGTGAGTATGGATCATCACCGCCAAATAGGTTAGAAACCACAGGTAGTTTTCCTCGAGGAAACTTTGGGAGGTGGGATGCACATTCGTCTGGAACTAGCAATAAAGATGGAGATGTTCAATCTAATCATGAAGGAAGTACTCAAGGTTTGTATGTTATCTATGTTACTATTAGTTGATAAAATTTCAAGCTGTTTTGATGCTGTAGCAGTGGCATAGTTTCATGTTGACATTATCAATACTGCAATTTTTTTTTCAGTGTTTCTTTTTTGTAGAATAATAATGTATGTGTTTTCGTCTCTTACTGTTCCCAATCCTCAACTTTTTGAAAATTGCATGTTCTGAACTCAGCAGTTGGAATTGCAGACCACATGGCATCATTTGTAATGCATATTGAAGTTCTACTGTCAGCCACCCATGTTATTGATCATAAACCTTTACAAAGTCAAACAAAGTTTTTAGTTTCTATTGGAATTCAAGAATGCTAAAAAAATACAGATTGGTGTATAAGACCTCATTGACCAAAAATAAAGAATGAACAGAACAGATATCATTAAAATGCACAAGTTTATATGATGTGACCCTCTGAATACTTAAAAAGCTTGTCAATAATGGATGTGAAAATTTCCATTTTTCTGCTTAAGGAGTATCTTATATTGTCTTTTAGTTCTGTTTTTCTTTTTATGTCAAATCATTTCATTTTCAACAAACTAAGTACATTTAGGAAATCTATGATTTACATTGTTTTCATAAGGAATTGGGTGGTCTGAATTTTCTCAGTGTTACACAGTAAGATAATATTGTGCTTTTGCCTTCTCTTTTTATCTGCATGTGAAAAAGGACTTATGCTTAGATAACTATCTAGTTTGTGGTGAGTTGAATTTTGTGTGTAAGCAAGTATTTCCCTTTTTTTCTTCTAGTAACAAATTTGTGATCCGTGGTACCTGTTTTATGTAATAGCCAACTATCGATAACAATATCTCCAGTGATGTCTATGATGGCATATGGTGTATGTACCTTGTGACAACTTATTGATATTTGAAACAGTTCATAAACTTGAGGACTATGGGAAAGGGGGATCAGTAATTATGTTTTAATGTCAATATCATGTATTGGTATTATTTGCTTTTGGTTTACATGATTTGTCATAAACTGCCATTGACCAAGATTTTCTGTTATTTAATTTACAATTAAAGGGAATATTAAAATTTGTGATACAAAGCAATTGCAAAGTGAACCAGACACGGATTGGACTCAACATGTGGCCAGCAAAGATATGGCCTTGTTTGGCCATAACATTGGGTCATCCTTCCATATATTGGACAACAACAGCATTCTAGCATTGCTACAGTTTCTACTAGCCAATAAGGCGCTGAGGAACATGAGTTGGCACCTCGAGATTTACATGATCAGGTTGAGAACTAGTGGCATAGCAGTAGCCTTACTTTCAAGAGGCTTTGGGATGATGATTGCCAGCTTCAACTTGGAGTTCTACAAGCACAAGAAGAGAATTCAGCTTCCACAGAATTCCTATGCACAATAAGAGTTGAACACCAGCAGCCATACATCAGTTTAAAAGGAATAAAGGCCAAAAGCTTTGAGAGATGATCCACGAGTCCAATTGGAAAGGGAATAATGGTTGGCGACTGTTTGATGGGCAGCCAGACCCCAGTTCTCAACAATAAAGGTGTTAGCCAGTTTTGGGAACCAACCAGTCCCAATCGAACATGAGTTGGGACAGGTAGGGCCCTATTTGGACACCAGTAAAACAGTAGGGTGTTCCCATAGTTTAGCTAAGGCTCAATTAAGGATTTAGTAACAAGATGATTGTCCCACTTTAAATATGTTTTGGATTTAAATTACAGCTCAATATTGATGTAATTAAAATATTATAGTCTTATATTTACAGGATTTTGATTACATTAGTAGCGCTGTTGATGCAAAATATTATAAGGCCTAGCAAAGGCTTGAAATATATTTCATTCTTTTATATTTATAGAGTTATAGTTGGTTTAATGGCCCTTGGGAGGCTCCCCTTGAAGTAGAGATGCATTAATATCTTAATTTTTTTTACTTTGACATTCTTTTTCTGCAATCTCCAGTGTTTCATAATCAGATTTTCTGCTCTATGAATTATCTCAATAAGGACTCAGTTTTGGTTGTGCATATGAACAGAATCAGTGCCTATCCTAGTCCAAGATTGGGTTCATTTTTGGTTGACGTCACAAATCTCAGTCCTTCCATCATCTTCTGGAAGGACAACTGTCAATCTGAGAAGCTTCTTGCTTCCTCACTTGTGCGATCTTGGAGCAATCTCATGATAAATACTGGGTAGAGCTTTCATGGCAATATACTAGATTACTAGAATAGAAGAATCTGACTAACTATTTATGAATGTTGATCTTTATGTTGACTGACAGAGATTTTTTCTGTTTTTAGAAGTCATGGTCTAATTCACCTGTTTACATGCTTGCTAAATAGGTTCTTGCCTTTTTATCTTTATAAACCGAAGTGGTTCTGCTACTCAAATGATGCAATTTTCAAATTCCAGACTCTGGTAGGCATTCTGGAACCCAATCTCGACGTTTCTTGCAACATCCTGAGCATGATGGACTTCTGGGAAGTGGTACATATCCAAGACCTTCAGGATATGCAGGATCCTCAGCACCAAAAGCTAGAATGGCTGGTCACTTTCAGCTTAATAGAACTCATGAACCTTATCAGCCCCCACGACCTTATAAGGTTAGGCTGTCTGAGAATACAGATATAAAGTATAGTTCATTAAAATGTTCATTTTTCCTTATTCTCTTTATTTATAGTTTATTATCTTTGATCTTTTTCTGTTAAGTTCTGATTGTTCATATGAATGTCTTTCTGTCTCTATTGTCACATATATTGTCCTGATATAGGTCTGATCCCATAAAAAAATAAGATAATTTTATGAAAATATTCTTTGTTTCAGGCTTTACCATTTCAACGGAAGGATGATAAAGATTCATGTAATGATGAAACATTTGGTTTGGCTAATTATTCAAGTGAGGACAGAGTGGAAGAAGAGCAGAGGAGAAGAGGTACTTTATCGTAATGATGAAACATCAGTTCGTAATTACATTTGCTCAGCTTTATCTGTTCCTTGTTTAAATCTTTTAAGTAATGAGACTATATACTTTTTATTATTTGGTTTTCTTTTCTTCATTATATTGACAATGCAGAGTCCTTCGAATTGATGAGAAAGGAACAACAGAAAGCACTGCAAGGGAAGCAAAAGCAGATTCCTGATAACCAAAAAGAGAAACTTGATGCCGATATTATTGCATTACTAGAGAACTCGGCTGATAAGAAAAGCATATTGAATGAAACTCACAAGGCGGATGATTCTTCTTCATTGTCTATAAATGATTCTTCCAGGCCTCTGACTATGCGAGTGCCTCTATCTCGGCCACTTGTACCGCCCGGTTTTTCTAATACAACACTGAACAAAATCCTTCCTATTCAGCCTTCAAACACTAACTCGTCGGAGGTACTAATACATAACCTTCTACGGAGTAACTGCTACTGAGAAATTTGTCATTTTTTCCTTAGGAACAGATAATACTGGCAACTAGATGTTTTAGATCTTGCTGTCAGAGTAAGCTGGGAAATGAATCTTTATTTCACCTATTAGTGGTCTTCTTTTACTCACAGTAGTGGTATATTCATATATTGGTTCAGCACATGGTTTTGGATCTTGATACTGAATCCTATACTGGTCCCTGGCTGGATCAATATGGGGCTGGCAAGTACTACATACCAACATGGTACACTGGCATAGTAGCTGGCACTGAGAAGGTGGGAGGAGGCTGAGAAGGAGAAGAAGAGGACGAGAACAAGGGAGAAGAGAAGAAGAGTGGAGGAGGAGAGGTACCAGGTGGGTGGCTGTGCGAGGTGAATCAGGATTGAGAGAGAGAGAGAGAGAGAGAGAGAGAGAGAGAGAGAGAGAGAGAGAGGGCATTAAAAAAACGATGTCTGCATGCCAATTCAAGTTTAGATCATCAAATGTTGCCCGGTAATATATGTCCATAAGCAACAGATTTTTTTAATAGCTATTATTATATTGTTTAACGAAAGATTCAGTTGTCATATTTATTGTGCTTTTCCTTGTCTGATGTTCTGCTTATCAATGCTGAATACTAAGCACCATGGGTGATGGCAAAAGATTAAATCATCCTTTAGTAGAAAGTCTAGAGAAATGATGCCTCCATAGCCTTCTATTTCTATTAACCACATCATTAAGGAATTCTCTTAATGGTTATACTCAAGTATTTATAATAACCTAGAAGCTCAGTTCTGGATCAATATTGTGGCATTACTGCCATGCTCACTTTACCTTTCAGGCTAGATTTGTGGATACTGTGGACAACCTTCCTCTAGATGGCACTGATAATGGTCAAGAAAAGAGGAACCAAACAGATCCATTCTTGAACAACAGAATGCTAAACAATGGCTCTATATCTGATGTCCTTGTCAATGACACAGATAAAATTGCGATTCCAGCATCAGGTCTTGAAGTTATGAAGCTGTTAGCAGATGCTGAAAACATATCCTGTGCAGCCTCTGGTCTTCACAAAACAAACAAAGTTTGTGAAGGAATCCTAGAGAATGATGATTCAGGCAAAAATGAGAAGACTTCTGAGATTACACACACACTTGTTGAGGATAGTTCTCTGTTAATTCTGGAAAAGTTGCTTGGTCATTCTCTGTCAAAAAGTTCTGGCAGTCCAATTTCCTCTGAGGTATATGATTATGATCATCTTTTCTTTCTTCTGTACATTTTTTTTATAAACGTTCTATACCTTCCTACCTTTCTTTAGATATAATGGTTGTCGTATGAAACTATGTATTAAATAGAACATGTGCTCATCAAATTGCTGTATTATTTTCTTGTACATCATGCTCATTAGGTTCTACTATACCTGAAGTTCACCTATAGTGGGATATGAACATTTTCAGTTATTAACCTTCTTGAGAATGTTTTTTCCTGAATCAAACTATTATCATGAGGACTTCAAAAGTACATATGTTGAACATGGACACTTGTCAGATGCTTCCAGATAATATGACTTTTTTTATCATTAACATTTATTTATGTTAATATATTATATACATAGAATACTTAACTAGTATGCAGAAAACTTTAGGACTTGTTGAAAATTGGCATATATGTATTTGAATTACTCTTATGAATATTTACTACCTGTTTATGTAGTTTGTATGATGCTTATATATTTCATACATGATGATCATAGATTGTCATATTATACAAAATATAAAAATTTCAATTTCACATGAAAATATACATGTATCAATTGCCATGTGCATGCTGTGTCATAGCTTTTTTTCACAGGATCTGCCATGTTTGTGTATGTGCATCTGTCCATGCTTCTTTGAGATCAAAGAGTTGGATGTGCTGTTTTACTTTTATTTGTGTTGGTGATAACTAAATGAATTTATGAGTTATGACATTACTCTAGTAGGGGTGAGGTATGTGCTCCACAAATTTGGAAAAAAAGCTGCATTTCAGGAGGATTACCGGCATTCAGAATTTTATAATCTATACTATCAAAAAGCATTACTTGTTTTTAGTTGCATCCAGAGAAAAACAATCAAGGGGCCCAGATGTTCAAATTGGGTTCCGCAGCTTAATTATCTGTATCCTAATCTGATCATGACTATGGTAATGTTCCTGTAGTCAGAAACCTAAACCCTGATTTTCCTGAGATCTAATAGACCAACTTTTGATGTGAAGAGGTCTATCAAGCTTCTGCTCGAGAATGCTTTGTGAAAAGTTCTTAATACATATGGAAAAACTTTGAGGACCACAAAGCATATTTCAATTTCTCATTTGTGTTTTTTAAGTAAAAGCTTTGAAATCAATGCAGAAGTCATGGTTGTCAAATACATTTCTATATGTCTTTTTTATAAGTACTTGTGCTATATCTGGCAATTTCATAAGTAAATATTTTGCTTCCATGTTTCCTAAAGCAACTTTTCATTCAGTTCAGACTCATGAATTCTGACCTTTGGATGGTCCCTCCAGACTGACAGTTCACTGCCTCTCATACTCTGACAGTTCTTATCATCCGTCGTCCCATATTGATCATGCTTTCTGGAATATACTCATTTAAGTTCTAAATGAATATAAGTAGGAAAAAAAGTGCATGTTAGAATAACTAAGATACAATGTCATGAATTAAGGGTAAAAAGGAGCATATTAGAGAAGGTTCAGTGAACCCATATATTCATTGCTACTTTTTATTGCACAAATATCTAGAACTATTATTTTTTACTTGTAATTTGTTATTATAAAATTATTTGCAATCTGCATTACTCAATTATAGCTGTCATTTTTTTAGTCTTTTTTGAGCCAAATCCTGTTATCTTTTATTAGTAATTCAAGCAGTTGACTTGAGAGAAAAAAGCTGGACTTAGGGGTTTAGGCATTTAAGTACTCCTGTGGTTGCTTGGCCTAAAATTTCAAAAGCTCTTGGTGCCTTTTGTTGGTGGGGGTAGCTGAATGGCCTAGGCAGCTGCCATTGACAACCTTTTCCTGCCATGACTTGTGCACTATGTCACAGTGATGTGCTTTGCTGGCCAAGTGTCAGTCAGCATTGTATCACAATGTAAATGTGTTTTGAGATATTCTTATACTAGTTGTTGACATACTTAGAATTTCTTTTGTCGACAGATCTATTATAATATGTCCTGACATATGTATGCCTTTGACATGAGCGCCATCATCTTCATGATTTTCCTCTCTTAAAACTTGTGTCACTTGTACATGAAACAGATTTTCTATTGTTTCATTGTTGCATAAAGGACATACGATTGAATTTCAGGTTAAGAATTCCCAACCATAAAGTTACAAGTAATTTGGATTCTTGCAATTTTGTAGATTGCTTATACTTTATTCACTTTTTTTATCTATTTGAATTGTCAAGAGTATTGTCTGTGTTCATCTCTTTGTTTATTCTACATACATATGCACATACAACTGTAATAATGACTTATATATGTCTACATGTGTGCCTGAGTATAGACACGAGAAAGTCTTAACCTATATATGACTGATAAGGAGCTTAAGTGACCAAATTGTTGTGTTGTTTTCCAGAATCAAGATTTTAAAACAGATGAAGAGACTTGGGTTCCTACAATTTCTGAATCTTCTAAATTTGCTAGTTGGTTTGTCAAAGAAGGTAAACCTTATCCTGTTCATGCCTTGTAGGAGAATCTTGTTCTTTGCTTGAATGGTAATCTAATATTTCATATTCTGATGTCCTCACAGAAAACAAGCATTTGGATGATTTCTCATCAAAAGACTTGCTCACTATGATTGTGAATAACGAGAACGTTGGGTCACCAGCTTCTGTAGATTCTTCTAACAAAGCGATTGAGCATATGGCACCAAGCTTACCATTCAAACATAGTGATATGACAAAGAAACTTGATGCATCTCCTGCACCTAGTCCTGTTGTACTCACATGTGAGGACCTTGAGCAGTTAATCTTGACTGACACTAAAGGCAGCAGTTCAAATCTGCCGCATGCTGTTCTGGGAACGGGGATGACAAAAGATGGAAAATTGGAACGGCAAAAATCTGAAGTTGATGATCATGCGTCACAACATCTTCTTTCTTTATTACAGAAGGGGACAAAGAAAGAGAAAGAGATGGTATCAGTAACATCTCCTGCTCTGGAAATTGGATCGCTTGAAAGATTTTCCATAACTGACACATGTTCTGGTGTTAATCTTGGGATTGTTGAGTCCAATTCTTGCAACTCTGAGACAGTGTCCAGCTCTGAGAAGAACCTAACACTCGAAGCATTATTTGGGTCAGCATTTATGAGTGAGCTCCAATCTGCTCAAGCTCCAGTCTCTGTACAAAGAGTTGTGGATGATGGAGTCAACACTACTGCCATTCCGACATCGCTTGGATTGCCATTTCCAAGTCCAGGTATTAGTTTCTTAACTTCTAATTCTCGTGATTATCAACCAAACAAGCCCATTCATGAAATAGATATGGTATTTTTGAACTTTGTTAAAGATGTCCAATGTATTCTTGGCGTTGGCAAAGAGCAAAGAAACTCTCCTGTTGAGGACTTGAAATTTAGTGCTGCTGATTTTGAAGAAAAAGCTCCAGAAACGCACTTGCCAGATGAGCATAGTTTGATTTCTGTGAGTGATTCTTTGGACGCTGTAACCTCTGACCCTTTTATCTTTTTGAATACCAATAAAAGTGAGCATCTATTATCCTGAAAAGAATGTTGAGCGTCTCAATGATAAATGCTATTCAAGAGATGCAGAATGCATCCGACCATCTGGTCTGGATGGCTTACCTTCTTTTTGGAGCCTGCATGACCTGGTTGGTTCTGATTCTTTTTGCCATCATTTACAGGGAATGACATCTTCTCAGTTACCTCATAGGATCAATCGTGTGAGGCCTCTTGACCCAGGGTTGGATCCTCTTAATAGGAATCAACAGATGAAGTCTATGGGTCCTGAAGGCATCCATCATTGCCCTTACCTTAATTTTCCTGAAAATATTGTTCCATATAATAATCCACATCATGGGAGCGATCCACGCATCAATCCTGCTGCCTATAATTTGATGTTGCAGCAGATGCCAATTCCGGGAAACTTTCCCCAACAGGTATTTCTTCAAGGTTTGCCAAGAGGTGTACCGCTATCTCATCCCATGAATCATATGCAAGGGTACATACCCAAGATCAGCAATGTGCACAATATGTCATTACATCATCAGCAGCCAAATTATGATGGCTTGGGAATGGGAATGCAAGGTAAAGTTTCTACTACTCTCCGTGTCTTCCCTATTGGTTTGGTTCACTAACGTTATAATTTAATTTTATTTGGAACCTTGTGTGACCCTGATGTGGAGCAGATTCCTAGTCTGCTTGTTGTTTGTATGAATTAAGAATGAACTTCAGCGGTATGGCAAGACTATTGTGGCTAATTCTTGTACTTGCCACTTTGCAGAAGTGTAGTAAAATTCAGCTGCATGACTGAAATGCACAGCAGTTAAGAGTAGATTGTCAATTGTTCAGTAATTGGATTTCATATTTTAGTACACCCATACTGTAATTGTATATAGGCAATGCCAGAGTGCAAACAAACATCCAGTACGTCTGAATGTTCTAGATCCTGCTATGTATTAGCCATTATGTCTTCGTGATCTCAGTAAAGTTCTAATGCATTTTATTTTTCTATCTTTTTGTTTATATTTGTGGATTAAGCCTGCATGTGTTTTCGTTTGTTTATATTTTCCTTTATGTTTATCTTTTTGTTTATATTTTTCTGTCTTCTTTCTGATATTTGTTATATTCTCCTTTTGTTTTCAACATGCAGGATCTCTTGTTGGAAGTGGCGGAAAAAATCATCCGGAGGCATTTCAGAGGCTGATCGAGATGGAACTGAGAGCTAATGCAAAACCAGTTCACCCTGCGGCTGCTGGCAACATTCCTGATATGTATGGTCCCGAATTAGGAATGAGCTTTAGGTATAGTTGACTATTAACAATGTAGTGCTTTCGTATATCACCAGAAGGTTGTTGAACCCCTTGTCTGCGCCTCGGTGGATGATGTTTTTTTTTTCTTTTTTTTTAATGCTGGTGTCTTTTTGCATTGTGTATGATAGCTTTTCGAATAGCCTCAACAGGAGGTCTGTATGTTGAACACTCCCCTCCCAGAAGAAGAACAAAGAAGTAGGATGTAGTTGATGGCGATCCAGATGAGAGGGAGTCGGTTCTTTTTTTGTACTGTGTCAGTAGCTCATTAGAACAAAACTTTTTAAGGTTCTGCTCTAAGCCTCTAGACTGTTTTAGTGTCGGCAAGAGGACATGGTAGGGTTTGATATCGGTGCAATGCTAAAACTCTTTTTTCAGAGATCATAGCTGATCGCCATGCAGTTGGCACAGCTGCGTGCATGCTGTACTTACTGTGTCGTCCAGGTTTCGTGTTCTGTTCCTTTGCATGGGCGTCATGGTGCCTGATAAATTCTCAACTGTTTCATGGATCATAATGTTTCTGTACCGTTATGGCTGTAGTTGAAAACATTTATATTAAATCTAAAGTCTCATACCAAAATAAAATAAATTTATAAAAAAAAGGTGTTTGAGAAATTGCTTAAGATTTCAAGCCAATTGTTAAAGAATATGATAGATAATTCTCAACGCCGAGTCCGTTGATGCAATGTCAACGGACGATGACGCGTTCATACAACAATGAGTGCTCACCGAGGTATGCGTCCTGCGGACATTTTGGCTTCCGCGGATGTAAACTGCGACTGCGGCGATGGCGCATAGGGACCGCCAACGACGACGGTAGCACATGACCCATCTGCTTCTTCTTCGGGTGGTCTTCTGCATCTTTCAGCATCAATGTCTGTCATGATCACGATGCAAATCACGCATTTAAACCTACAACAACCCGGGGGAGGTCACCCTCAAGCTGTTTAAGGTAGCTTCACATTCGCAATGTATGGAGTGCAAGCAATGTATACTGACCTGAGAGTTATTTTTGTTGGAACAATAACTATAGCCCTATCAAGGTATCCCTACTGCCCCCTTCACTTCCCACCCAGTAAGGACATCATCCAATCATGGCAATTTTCCACGCCAGCATCCAAGAAATTTAAGTTTTAGAGCAAGCATCCTTTCTAGTCATATATAATATCACTTCCTAAATGAAGAAAAAGTGCCCTCCAAATACATCGAAAGTAGGAAGCTTCCCCTTCGTGTTTAGAAAGGTATCCTAAAGCTGAAAGTAATATATATAACAAAATAACACTGATGATAAAATTACTGAGATATCAGTGACATTATTTGATTATTAGGAAAGATTCATTTGTCAAGATTGACTAAAATATCAGTCTCACATCACTAAATTACTATTCTAATGACAGTGAAAGATCACGGGGAATGGGCTGAACGCAATGGCAAAAACTTGATTTGACTTTTCATGTTAGCTTAGACTTGAATTGCTTGTGCTAAGCCCTTGAAGGACTCATATAAAATTCTTCAAGAAATCTAATACCTGAATCTTAATCACAAGAAGTTATTCCTCCAAGAATAAAGTATGATTGCTGTTTAGTCCTACATCCGCTCGGATACCATAATGAATCCATGTGACTCGTCTAATAAGATTAATTAGATCAGAGTCTACTAGTAATCACACTCTCCCACGCCCATGCCAAGCTCCGTACGTGACGCACCTTCCGCCATGCACGCGCACACAACGCGGGCAGCTTCACAGCGTGTGCACGTTTATCGCGCGACCAAGACCACCAAAACCACCCGCCGCCTGCGCACCCGCTCCGCCCGGCTGAGCGAATCCTAGGGACCCCAACTTGTGTCCGATCCATTCAGCACAGGAGTTGGTGGGAACCGGGTAACGTAGAGAATCTTCTGCTCAACGAGATTTCGCGGGAATTCCTCTGCCACCGGCGAATGTCCGTGTCGGAAGAGACAAGTGTCCTCGCCATTGCGATCCTCGGATGCGTGTCCTTTTGTGAGCATCTCCACCGTAAAGCGGCCAGGGTGCCCCGCAGTAACACTTTCCCATCGCTTCAAAGACTTGAATCCTGAAGAGTAATTCCAGAGAGAGAGAGAGAGAGACCATAACACGCAGTAAGGATGTCTTTATATAGAGACCGCGAAATCTTCATGTAGAGACTACAAGACCGGTGGTTTGAGGTGTGGTTTGGTGGCTGAGGCACCTGAGCTCGTGTTAGGTAGGAAAGGAGGAGGTGGGTTCATGGAGGAACTCTTCATCATCTCCGGGAACTTTTTGGTGCAGGTCACGTATGGGGTGTACATGGTGTTCCTGAATGGCGTCTTTAATGCCGGCGTCAACCCGTTGTTCCTCGTTGTCTTCGGGAACTCGGTCACCGCCGTCGTCCTCCTCCCCTTTGCCCTAGCTTTCGAGAAGTGTGTGCCTCTCTGTTGCGGTCTGGTACCTGTTCTACGCTTGGGACTGATGCCCTCTTTATTGCATACACAGGAAGAAATGGCCGAGCAGGTTGAGTGCCACGCTGTTGTCTCATTTTCTTCTGCTTTCCTTGGGAGGGTAAGGATTTCTGCATGTATACTTCCTAATTAGCATTTCTTAGAAATAATTGCTGAATCTACCTGCATGCCCACCCTCTCTCTCTCTCTGTCTCTCAAGTTTTCTGTGCCCAACAGTTCCCATCAAGGCCAGAGAGATGCGAATCATTTATGAACTAGCAGCGATGAATATATGAAGAATGTCACAAGTGAGATTCTAGTGAGATTAGGAATCTATAGATGAACTTAACTCTGTATCTTGTGCTGCTCATCAGGGTGACCTTATTTCAAGCTCTAATGTTGGTGGGAATCAAGAAAGCATCTCCAGATGTTGCCTCTGCAATGCCTAACTTGACTCCTGGTCTCATCTTCATAATTTCAGCCTGCCTCAGGTACCCAATAAACAAGTTTATGAGATCTGAAAGCATGCATGTAAGCTTGCAATACTTCAATCGAGGGTTTTGCTTATGATACTGACAAAGTAATGTTTGGGTGGTCTTGCAGGTTTGAGAAGTTTGATGCATGTTGCTGGTACAGTAGAGCCAAGATCATGGGGACTCTGGTGTGCTTGGCTGGGGTATTCACAATGTGCTTCTTGCAGGGCACATCTGAGACACCAAGGTTGGCAAACAATTGGTCATTTCTCTTGGCTAAGCCCTTGACATTGGACAAGGCCATCAACAGAGACTGGGTGCTTGGCTGCTTCTATCTTTTGGCAGGGGTTTTTATCTTGTCCTGCACCACTGTTCTGCAGGTTTTCTTTTTTCTTGTTGCTAGCTTTCAATCCTAATTTTGTTACTTAGTCAGTCACAATCTTAGCTTTCAAGATTTAGTAATTTTTATCAGCGACTGAAGTCTCATGTTTCTCCTTTTCTATCTTTTATACAAGTGGTTAATTTCATTTATTTAACCAGCATATTAGTGTTTATGATAATGATGCTTATTGTGAAGCTAAACAAAAGCTAATTAAAGGGGGAAAAAAATATACCAAAGCTTAATTATACAGAGGAGAAATAAATGGTTGCAGATGTTGATCAGGGAGAACAGAGGATATATATATGATGATCAACTATTTTAATGCAAAGATTTTTTATGGGTTTCTTGATATTTCTTTCTAATACCAAAGGAAGTACAATGAAGAGCAATCTGGAGTTGAGCATGACAAACATGTATGCTGCTTGCAGGCTGCAACCATGCTAAAATTTCCAGCACCCTTGTCCTTGGTTGTCATAACCTCTGTGATGGGCTCCTCTCTCACTGCACTGCTGCAGCTCATAACTGAAGGCAAGATCAGTGTTGGTCCTACCACCATGAGCATCACAAGCATTGTGGCAATTGTGCTTCTGGTATATGCTATTCTCTCTGTATTTTTCTAGTCATCTCTGTAGCAGCTTGAGCGCTTATTGAGGACTGATCTCATGTAGCACCAAAACATTCTTTTTTCAGCCATAATTGGTGATAATTGTGGTTCTTATGGCATGCAGGGTGGAGTTGTGATGGGCACATGCATGGCATTCCAAGGCTGGTGCATCACTAAGAAGGGTCCAGTCCTGGTTTCCATCTTCTGCCCCATCCAAACAGTCAGCACTGTTGTTGTTTCAGCTGCACTCTTAGGACAGATCATTAGCCTCGGAAGGTATCAGTGTTTCCAACTCAAGTATAGTTCATGCAGCTCCCATTTGTAGACTTTTAATTAGCATAGTTGTTATAGATTTATCGAGTATAATTCCTGTAGCATGGTGATGGAAGAAGAGTCCTGACCAGAGAGCACATCATCCTCTTTTGCAGCCTAGCAGGAATAGTCCTCATGTTTGCAGGACTGTACATTGTTTTGTGGGCAAAGAAGAATGAAACTTTCAGCATGCTTTATGTGGATGCTGAGCCAGAGGTGCTTGTTGAAGATGTTGAGAAGCCACTGCTGTCTTAACTCCAGGGGCAAGTAGAACTAGTGTGAGATATGCACTAACTCAGTCATAAAATGCAGAGTCCATGAGACCTGCTTTGACAAGGTTCTGCCTTGATGGAGAAGAAGAATGAACCATACCTTATCTGATGTACTCAGAGCACCACCATCATGTAAAGTCTAGCTTCTTTATGCAAATCATATGATAGTTTAGCTAGTGATCTAAGATTGGGCTATCAAATGATTTGCCACGAAGATTATGGGTTGCCACATGGCGGGCGCCTCCACCGCCGCCAGCCTCTAGCGCCCTTGCGCGTCGATCGTGCCACTGAAAAGCCGCCGCCCTGGATCGCGGCATGCCGTCTTTGCATGGTGGGAACAGCGGCATCGCGGACACGGGGGCGGCGGAGGAAATGCTGCCCTCTGAGGGGGTTGAGGAAGGAGTGCATGAAGGGCAAAGGTGGCCTTGAGAACGAGGGGTGCGGCGGCGGAGATCCGCGAGGCAGGAAACCGCCTCTGGCTCGGCACGTTGAAGACGGCGCTGGAGGCGGGCGTCTGTGGCCGGCTTCTAGGAACACGAATCATAAAGCTATCGGACATGACCAAAACAAACGGCCCATGATTCACTGCCGGCAAAACAAATGGGCCGGATTGGGTTGGGTCGAACAAAATCGAGCTCAACACAGACTCAACGCAAACATGTTGACTTGACCCAATCTTCGTCATTTTAGCCCATAAGAAATCTTTGACCCAATTTGCACAGTAGGTAGGTTGCAATGAATGTTTTACGTTTATATCAGCATAAGGAGAATTTAGATGCGTGATTTGGTCGAAAAAAAATTGATCTTATTGAATGTTGTCTATTTTGTCTTACTATCTTAATATCTTGAGAGAATTAATTATGGGGCGGCCACAAGGTCCAAAAAAATGATTGGCAAACGTTAGCTCATGTTTGATTGATGAATGCAAGTCAAGTGCATGCAATTTCGGTAAGCCAAACAAAATAAATGAAACCACATTGTGTTGATTAATATTGGGGATGTAGAGAGCATTTTAAAATTAAAAAATTAAAGATTAACAATATATATATCAGAAAAGATAAACGTGGTTTAATAAATTTCACCTAGATTTACGAAAAAAATTAAATTCTTCATAATGTGAGATTAATTATAAGACATTCAGTTATTCTCACTCAAATATTACTTTTTATAGAGTTTCTCATATGAATTTTAAAAAATTTATACTTGTTTCTCTCACCCTCTATAAAAATTCTACAGAGTTTCATCTTTAGACACCATAGAGAGAGAATATGGAAACATAGAAAGGATTTCTCAGATATCTTGCTTTTCTCATATCAAAACTTAGGGATACATAAGAAATTTATAGAAGAATAAAATCTTAATTATCAAAGTTTTCTTCTTTCACGTGAACTCCTCATATTATTAGGATTCTTTATCCCATTAGGATGTTGAATTCAGAAATCCCAAAATACTTATCAATCTCAATAATTAAAAATAATATCTTTGATCAATGCACTCAAATATCGACCTATCACTACTAATCATACATGACTAATTTTTTAGGATTCGTATATTAAAAAATTGATCAATCGATCATCAATGTTTTTATTGATCATGAAACATCGTGGATCCCTTCCTATTTATTTTAATTTTTTTAATAAAAATAGCAAAAATAAGATTCAAACTAAAATATTTTTATAATCTATTAAAAATCTTTACCAGCTTAGTTAGTTGGCATCCTAAATGATTTTAACTGTAAGATTAACCACCATAGTCATCAGATGTGCCAACTGTGCTAAGGTTGGTTGTTTGTCCAAACAATTAATCAAAATTAGTAGGAAGTGTCATCTTCATGCCAAGCATAAGCTTTAGCACTAAATTAATTTAAATTAAATAATGATCTTCTATCTAGATATCTGGATTGATTAGTGTGACATTACATGTGTGATAAATCTCAAATTTGAGTGGAAGTGTGAGTGTCATTATTTGATTTGTATCATGTAAATTTTTGCAACACTAGATGATGATAAAATGTAGACTGGTTGAAGTTTTGTGAAGGCTTATTCAAGCAATATCATGATGATTAAATTATGGAATTTAGTCACAAAAGACCTCAAACAAGATCATATTCGGCCAATTACTAATTAGCTTCAAATGCATGCATCTTTTAGCAAGGCCTCAACATCATCCTAAGTGTAGAGAGAGAGAGAGAGAGAGAGAGAGAGAGAGAGAGAGAGAGAGAGAGAGA